CCACTTATCACAGACAACTTATCACAGACATCAGAAGGAGACAGTCATCATTTTTCGGCCATGTTATGAGAAGAGGGAAAATAGAATATGTTGTGACCACTGGAAAGATATGTGGAAGGAGAGATAGAGGAAGACAACGAGAGAAGATGCTTGACAGTCTTGTTGCATGGCATGGAGATGTGTCGGCACACGAATTGATACATGCTGCAGGAGATCGCAGATTATGGAGAGGCATGATTGCACACGCCAGTCGGCAAGATAGCTGATGATGATGGTGAAGAATGTGTGAACTTGGAATTAGTAAATTAGTGAACGAGTTCTGGATACGGCAAAGAGGGACATATGAGAGGAAGTACCATGTGTATGTAGTAATTAGTGTACTACGGGAACAGTTCACATTGACACATTGAAACTGTTGCTGCAGGAGGCGAAACATCAATGGGTATGCTCGGTGTGCTATAACGTCGACTTCTTTTTTAACCAGTAACTTGTACCAGTCAAAGAAGCATACTTTTCTCTGTCATTTCAGGGATAGTAGGATGTTCCTGTGGTTCGCACTCTACCGCAGACAGGTATTACATTACCTGTCAATATCTCAATTATTAGTTTTACTACGTGTGTACCATTTGCTTCTGTTCTACCCCTTCAGACTGAGCTACGAACTGTTTTTAACTCTTTCGGTACCAGTCAAGTTCCCACACGTTTGCTTGGTCTTGTTTGAATTATACGCTTTCCCCTTAGCTCTCATTTATTCAGACAGATGTTACATTTAATCAATTACACATCTTGACTTTAAAACGTTTTATCATATTGTGCATGTAACATGTTGGATGAAAGTGGTGGACGATTGTGGCTTAGGTTTCTATTCTGTAGTGGTCAATGCAGGCTGAATTTAAAGACGAACCGTCTACTAAGTCGTAGTGGGTGTAGATATGTTATAGTCGTGGACAGGGTGAACGACGAACAGTAATGATAGCTTAAAAATAATAAGGCAACTACGCACAAGCTACGTCTAGAGTACGGGATGATCTTCAGAAAAGACAACAATGAAGAAGACTAGACAATTGTCTTCGGCAAAGGTAACAAAGAAAAGGTAGTCTAAGGTACGAAATAATATTCGGTAAAGTTAACAAGGAAGAAGACTAGGGTAGGGTATGATCTTCGGAAAAGTTAACGACGAAGAAGACTATGGTACGGTATGATCTTCGGCAAAGTTAACAAAGAAGAAGGCGAGGGTACGTCGTGATCTTCGTCAAAGTTAACGACGAAGAAGACTAGGGTACGGTATGTTCTTCGGCAAAATTAACAACAAAGAGGACTAGGGTACGGTATGATTGTTGGCAAAGTTAACAACGAAGAAGACTGGGGCACTGTATGATCTTCCGCAACGTTAACAATGAAGAAGCCTAGGGTACGGTTTGATCTTCGGTGGTAAAAAGACAGCCGCCTCCTCCCTTTTTCAGGCACAATCTGGAAGAAATATATACCTCTAGGACCAAGTTAGAAGACTACTGGACAAGTAAAACTAGAAGGAACGAAAGATTATCAATTCGACAAAACGCATCTAGTTCACGTACCTGGTCTCTGTATTAACAAAAACGGCAATTGCAATAACGAATGATAGCAAGGACTTGAACCCTCCCCCCCCCCACCCACCCCCCCCCCAAAAAAAAAATTGAGACGAAATAAAATTTCTGTCTGTCTGTCCGTTCGTCCCTCCGCCCGTCTGACTGTCTGTCTGTCTGTCTGTCTGTCTGTCTGTCTGTCTGTCTGACTCGGACCAATTACGAAATGTATTCAACTACTTCACGGTAGATCTGCAGATATACAAGCAATCTGACGACCAGTATCCATATATTCAGCCGAAACGCCGAGAGAAAGCCTCGAATAATTACATATTCGTGTACAAGGCAAAATAGACGGCTACTAAGCGTCACTGCATTCAGTAGATACTATCATCGGGCATCAATGGGGCAAGCTCATTCTTGTGATCCTAAAGGATGGAACGCATCATCTCAGCCTGAAAGCTTCTCCACCACACCCTTTGGCACAGACACCCCAACAACATTAATGTTGTAATTTGGGAAATACACAATATTTTTTGCATAGTATTTACACCATTTAGTCTTGGATAGCCACGCACGACGGTGCTGTTTTTTGAACTCATTCCGACTGTTAAGTTCCTTTTACATCTGAAATCCTGACCTGAAAAATCGTCCATTTTGTAGGGTTGGCTGCTCACCTCACGACAACGAGTTTATTATATGTGTAATGAGGAAACATCGACTTAATAACTATGATATCAGAACCAATACTGAACTTTATAGGTAGAAAAAACCCAGATGGTTTGGCCGTGTAACAAGATTGATACAGAGCACCACAGAAAGCAAAGTTACACAGATACAACGATAAGACAGCCAGAATTCGGCCACGCAGAATATGAACAGTAGAAACATCAGAGACACTGAGAAGTACTTTATACAAAGCGATCAGATGGGCCCGTTCCTGAGATCTCTTCCTGCCCTGACGCCACGAGGCATTTCAGGAGTAGATAACAGAAGAAGAAGAAAAAGAAGAAGAAGAAGAAGAAGAAGAAGAAGAAGAAGAAGAAGAAGAAGAAGAAGAAGAAGAAGAAGAAGAAAAAGAAGAAGAAGAAGAAGAAGAAGAAGAGAAGAAGAAGAAAAATAAAAAGGAGGAGGGGGAGAAGAAAAAGAAGAAAAGAGAAAAACTTATTAAATGCCAGGGTTAGTTTGGACGCGCTGGAGTAGATATGCAACCTAACGACAATGCGAAGGCATTCTAGGAAATAAATCACCCGCCTCCATACGTCACTGTGAGTTGTCTTTTCCTTTCATTTGGTGACAACATGCGTTTGTCTTATATTATCTTTCTACCGTCTTCTTGAATGGTACTGAATTATGTAAATACCGTGGCTAGTTGACGATACCCTGAAAAAGATATGCAACGTAACGTCTATGTGCAGGCATTATGGGAAATAATTTACCAACCACCATTTATCACTGTGAGCTGCCTTCTCTTTCCAACTGGTGACCTCAAGTATTTGTAGGTCTGTCAAATTTTTATTACTCTCCACCGTCTTCTTGCCTGGTACTGAAATAGGTAAATACCGTTGTTGGTTGACCGTGTCCTGAAAAAAGATATGAAACGTGATGTCATTGTGGGAAAGGTATAACCCGTCTCCATTCATCTCTGTGAGTTGCCTTCCCCTTCCATTTGGTGACTTCAAGTGTTTGTATATCTGTCTGCATATTATCTCTCCATCGGTTTCTTGTCTGATACTGGAAGAGGTAGGTAAATACCATGGTTAGTTTACGATGTTCTGAAGAAGATATGCAACGTAACGTCTGTGTGCAGGCATTCTGGGAAGCTTGCCAGGGGTCAATGAAATGTATCGACTATTGAGGTGCAGGCCGATGATGTCATAATACCCACAAATCACCAGTAGCAATGGCTGCCCTCTACGATCGATGAATTTCGTATAGGCGACATTCTTTAGGCAAATTCTGCGTCATTAGGCACTTGTGGCTTCCTGTAAGCACATATTCTTTGTGTTGATTTAGTCATTTTATGTTTTGAATGATGTTTGATTGAAATAAATACGTTTTAGAAACATCTGATATCGTGACGCAGTACTTGCGTTGTAGTCCTGCCTACACACTGTAAATTTGAGATAAAACTGTTAGGATGCCATATAATATATGTTGTTTTAGATCGCTATGTCGTCTTGGAAGCGTGTTGCTAAAATAGTAGAGATCACCTCTGTTGTTTCTGTTGCACAGTAAAGCTTGACAATTTTCCAGGGACTAGTCTACACAACCATTGATGAGAGAGTCCTACGGTGGTGGACTGTTCCATCAGTGATATTGAAACAGTTATATATTAAGGATAGAACAGAATGGAAGAATAAACTTTGAGCTCTGTGTGACATGTTATGATACAAAATCTAGAAACCATCTTAATAAAAGATAAAAAGGTCAGGAAGAAGGGAACTGGTCACCTACATCATTATGCATTATGTAAATACCTAACGCTTATGTCCTTGTTACAGTCTCTGCCAAGGGACTGTTTTATTAGCTAGGGAAAGGCAATCCCATATTAGTTACTACATTTAGAGTGTGAAATATTAGGTCTTTGCATATTATGTCACACCAGTTGAGGTGGCCAGTTCACTTCTTTGTAGTCTGTTCTTCGGGGGGGGGTGTGTGTTAATATTTGTTTCTTTTACACCTGGTCTACCCCAGATCTGTAAAATATAGTTTATTTTGGTAACTTGTTGTTATACAATGTCTGGTCAACCTCAGATCAGTAAAGTAAAGGACCCATTTCAACACCTTCATGCATATTGGACTAGACCTGTATTGTAAAGATCAATCAGCCCTCAGTGATGTTGTCAGCATCACGCCAGCCACCTTTTCTTCCCAGGATGTTACCTTGTACCCATTTGAGGCTGGATTGATCCTGAGCCAACTTCATTTTAAGTCTGGTTCCATTCAGAGCTGATCTGAATTCATCATCATCATTGTTCCTTGAAACACTGCGTGTCATTGGGTTTCCTTGAAACACTGCGTGTCATTGGGTGACCAGTTGCTGTTGACTGTCATCATCTCCCACCACCTTTGACGGTCAAATGCAGTGGACTTCATGGTTGCATATCTAATGCCTGGCCAGAAAATCTGTTTTAGTTGGAAAACAAAACAAAATAAAAATAATTAGTATCTGCTGGGATTTGAATTCAGGCTACTGTTGTAGTTCTCTTGGGCAAGCTCATTCACCACCATGCCACCAAAGCTGCTTGGAAGTAGATGGAAGATTAATAATAATTAACAGTATTGCCAATTGGTAATTAATTTGTATGGTACGCTCTTTCTAGGTCCTTGATTCTTCACCTTTGAATGCAATGACAAATTAGCTGTGTGACGTGACTCAGATTTAGTGACTTCCATCTGACCATCCACCAAGCACATACAAAGATCTGCAACATGGCGAATGGTAATGAGTGCAGTATTAAAGTTATATGTCGTGTGCGTCCACTCAATGAATCAGAAGAAAGGGCAGGGAGCAAATTTGTCCTGAAGTTTCCTACAGATGATTCAGTAACAGTTGGGGTGAGTAATAATGTTGTCTGTTATGTCCATTGCATTAATTGTCCATGACTTATAGTATGTAATGTTTTTCTTCTTCTTTTATTAGAAACATTATCTGTGTCTGCAATAAAAAAAAAAAGAAAAAAGAATTTAATCATTATGTTTTACTCAATGGACGGTGTAGTCTAATAATGTCCACCTACGTTTCTTTAGGCCAAATGATTTACCTTAATATGTTGTATTCGGGCCAGTCTGGGAGTATGTGACCTCTTATTAACACTTAGAAGAAAAAAAACTTCTGTAGACACAATGGATTTGAAAGAATTTTTGTCATTTGATAAAATATTGCCTGTACCTGATGTTATCTGTGTGTTGCATCTTCTTATCTTGCTATCCTCAGCTTTGACAATTCTCAGTATATTTATCACATAAATCTTTAAAGCCGATTTGTTGGTATGCTTCCCAATTTATCGATCCATATTTCTATGTAAGGACAATAATAATTAATCAATTTTTGGAGTGCATCTGCCCGAATGGCAAGGAATAACTATCTGCACACATATAAGCCAGTAAAATAGATGTATATGCAAAACCCATGCCCTGGCACAATGCCAAAATCCAAGTGGACGAACAACCAGGACTTTCCACTGGGGCTTACAGCTGGTGAACAAAGAAGAAGGAGATGATAAGTAATACATTTTTACTAACAAGCTGCTACCATTTAATACATTTCCAATTGTCTATAAATTCTCCTTATCTCCTAGACATGGTTTTGAGGGAAAAAATATGCCCCACCCACCTTCCCTCCAGCTTGCTAGCATGGTGTTAAATGTGACTAATTAGAGGGTTGCTAAACTATGATGTATTGGGCCAAATGGTTGCAGTCTTTCAGACAATAAATTGTTTTTGTCCTATATTGAAACTGATACTGTGAAGACATTCATTATTCTGAACATAACTACTGCATCTCCTCGACTTAGACCAGGTTTAATCCCAACTATAGGTTGCAAGTCGTTGTAAAAAAAAGTTTTAGTCAGGCTGTAAACCACAACACAGTGTGCCAACCGCCCTTTTGAGGACAAACACAGAAGAAGAACAGGAAGTATTAATAACAATACCAGATGCCGCAAAGGGATCCATCGCAGCTCAGCAGTTATAGAATCATAACTCTCCAAAATATGTATGGCAAACTGCTGGAAAAAATGGTGGCAAAGAATTTAGTGGATCCGGCAAGGAGGGACGGATGAGAGGAAGAGATCGGTGTGTGTATAATCAGAGTGCTACGGGAACAGTTAGCATCTTCACTTTACGTCATTTGCTGCCGGAGATGGAGCATCTATAGGTATGCCCTGTGTGCTATGATGTAGACTTTTAAATCAGTAATCAGCCGTGAAGATTAAGGTATAATTTTACAATACACCGTCTTCTCAATGTACGGCCTGTGTGACTTAGCAGTGATCTGCAGTTAGGACCATAAACATCAAATAAATAAAAATACTAAAGAAAGATAAACTACATTTGGTATGGTCAGAAAGTTCCTGGAACTGATGCAGTAGAGTACAAATTATGTATTTTTTACATTATATACAATAATTATGTATACATCATCATCATCATGTAGCAGGTCCTTTGCAGAACGTCGCTCCCATCAGGGTCTACCTGAAAGAAACTCGGTCTCTCGCCAGCTCTCCTGCCTCATGCACTTTCATACTCAGGAAGTCACTTATATCTTGTGCTCATCTTTGTGTTGGTCGGCCCCTGCCCCTCCTTCCTGGTACTATGCCTTCTGCTATAAATTTTTCCAATCCTTGATATGACCAAAATATTTTAGCTTCTGAGACAGGTTGCTGTTTATTAGCCAATCTTCCCTGATGTTCAGATCTTTCAAGATGTCAGATTTCTTCTCTTTTTTGTCCAAGATATTCAGAGAATCTTTCTATAGCATTTCAGCTCAAAAGCCCCTTATTCTCTTTCTTAAGGACTGGGAGATAGTCCACGGCTCACATCCGTATGTAGCTACAGGGAAGATGCATGCTCTCAAAATTCTAATTTTGATCTCCTTGCTGGTGCTTAACCATAGACTTTTTAAGGCTGGTAAATCTTTGAATTGCTATGGCCATCCTCCTTTTAGTTTCTGTCAATCAGTCTCCATTGCTATTTATTATAGAGCCTAGATATTCAAAGTTTGTGACATTTTCAATTTCCTCAACATTTATTGTTATTTTTTGGTGACAGCCAGTTTTATCTGTGGACATTATTTTTGTTTTCTTTAAATTCAACAACAGATTTTGATCTTCACTGTGCTTTTGGACAGACAATATTAAATTTTCTATTCCCTTTACGCTGTTTGAAAGGAGGACTGTCATCTGTGTAGCGAAGTTCCGGAATAGGGTTGCTACCAATTTTGAGCGGGTCATAACTGTCACAAGTCTGGTCATTTTTGACCATTTTGGTCATTTCTCATATTTTCTGCGTATATATTTAACAGGTATGGTGAGAGAAGCACCCCTGCCTCACTCCCATTTGCATCTCGAACCAATCCGATGTTTCACCAGCTGCTCTGATGGCTGCTTGTTGTTCTTGATAAAGATTTTCAGTTAAATGTACTCGAAACGCCATACTTCTCATAACAGTCCACAGTATATTGTACAATATACATAGTATGTGTGTGCACACACAAACACACATACACGCACAATATTGTTTTTATCATTATTATTTAAATAGTTATGTTGTCAGATCCTGGGGATTGTTCTTTTAATTTTGAAACATCACGGCTTATTTCTTGTTTGTTTGATTATAATGCTGTTCATCTCTGTACATTCTTGTATTTAGATTGCCTGCTTTCTTACTGCTGCCATCGTATTTAAAATTACTCATAATAATACATGCCAGCACTTTTTTTAAAGTCTACTTAGACAACTTCTTCCGTGAAACTACCGAAGTTGAGGTATATATTCAAATTAAATTGATGTTTCCTGGCTTTGCCTTGTCCCTTCGTCTAATTTCGTTTTCTTATTGCTTTCCATACTGTTTTATCTAGTGTTAACATTAGGAATCATTGTATTATAGGTAGTGGCTAATTAAAGCATTGGCTTGCCAACATAGAAGAATAGAATCAAATGCAATATACACACACAGGAGGACTGCGGCCTATTATTAGTGACTCTTAATGGCATGCCACTTGTTTCCTTTGCTTTTTATGTTCTTATACTTTATTTTTATCACCAGAAGAATAAGATTGTCTAAAATATGAGGCCTTTCACGTCTGCTTCAGTTACTTTGTATAGTATAAGTGTTCAGTCTGTTTCTTCTTATCTCTACTCTTGGAATGCCTCACGGCGTCAGGGCAGGAAGAGATCTCTGAAATGGACTGTATAAAGTACTTTTTCAGTGTCTCTGATATTTCTGCGGTCCATCTTTTGCGTGTTCGAAGTATGGCTCTCTTACCGCTGTATCTGTATAACATTGCTTTCTTTGGTGCCCTGTAGGATGGCAATCTTGTTACATGGCCAAAAAATTTGATTTGTTGTCTACCTGTGAAGTTCAGTCTTGGTTCTGTGCCAACTCTCCTCCTGGTATCATCGTTCTGAAGTCGATCTCTCCTCGTTAAACCTAGAATAATATGTGAACATTTTCATTTCTATCGTGACTATTTTCCTTCTGTCTTCTGAAGACAGTGTCCATGTTTGCCATTGAAAGCAGAGCGTTGGTAAGGATATTGTGTTGAACAGTGTTGTTTTTATGTTAAAATTCACATGCCTGCATTTCAAAATTTGCGCCATTTAGCCTAAAACTCTATTGACTTTATTGCATCTTTCACTTCAGTTACTTCATATAGTAAAATCACATATACTCTGTGACATAATTATTTTGCAAGTTTGACATTTTTTCATTTCAGGGAAAGTTATTTGTATTTGACAAGATAATAAAGCCAAATGTCTCCCAGGAATATGTGTACGAAGTCACAGCTAAGCCTATTGTTGCAGGTGAGTTTATGTGTGTTTGCACTGTGATGTTAATTGTCCTTTCTTTCTTTTTATGTGCACTTAGTCTGTGGACACTATAATGGAGCCTTAGGTGCAGTTAAGTGCAATGAATAAACATAAGGCAGTGGTGGATACAAAGAAAAAATATATGGTCATCAAGAAGATTGCAGGGATTTTAAAATGTTACGGGAACTGGAGTATTAAGTAGATCCATGCATATGGCATTTTAACTGTTCAGAAAAGTTGAAAGTTTTAGACTTACCTTAATACACTTTGATATGGGTGCCATTTATAGTGCTGTTAATGTCTATATGGTATTCAGCCTCCTGCCATGACTTTGGAATCATGTCCCGATTTAAAGTTGCAGTTGCTGCAGTGATCCTATCTTTGAGGTGTTCGATGTTCACACAAAGTGACACAAAACTTTAAACCTTTTCTGAACATTTTTAGATGTCTGGCAATTAAATCTCTCTCTGTGCACATGCTCACACACGCATGCATGCACCTCTTCCCTCCCCCCTGCCCCCAAACCTATGCAACCTGCAACCACACACACACATAAAACATTAAGTAAAGATAGATACCATCATTGATTTTAAAATCGCACTTAACCTCCGTAACCTGGATCTACACACCGGGTCATGCGGGCGTAAAGGGAAATAAGCGAGCGGACCAACTGGCAAGCACTGCACTAATGATAGCGGGAAAAAGCATGGACAGAGCAGATATCGTCAACGCTGTACGAACTGGGCTAGTGGAGAATGAGGAATCCCTGACACTAACACGATTGCGTGACATGGAAGTTAAGCATGGTGAAGCACGTCTTTGCCGTCTTCGAGGCCGAGAAAGGAGACAATATAACCAGCTTCTCATGGGAACAATTAGTAGAAGTACTTTGGAGTGGCTGCTGCTTCGGAGGACTGAGCACGCATGGGTATGCCCAATGTGCAGTGACATCAATTGTGATAACAAAAAATAAAATAACATCTTGTAGGGAGTCAGCAGTCCGAAACCAAAGTTCAAGGTGTCTCCTTCGTGCCAAAGAACTGCATGGCTGTTGGGTGAACAGTCGTTAACAAAGACAGGCAGGTCGTTGTAGGGGCGATGAATGCTGGTGGATGTAATGTCTTAAGTCCCTTCCCCAGCTAATAGTGAGGGTACTGCTGGGGTGACCGTTTATTAACCCTCATAATGCTTCAGGTCAAAATGGCCGCTAGGCACGGCCACCTTTTTTTTTTTTTGCTTCTGCCAGACAGTGGCCATTGCATTTTTGCTCCATTTGTAGACTGGAAGGATATAGTTTCGTCGCCCAGCTTCTGAGTTGAGTACATGGTGTGACACTGTGAGCTACGTGTGTTTTTCGTTGGCACAGGAGCGGAGCAACTATGGGGTGACCTGTTTGCTATGAAGCTGAAACTAGGATTACCAGATTGATAGGATCAAAAAGCTCAAGGAATTGATGTAGTATTATTATGTATTTTTCACATTATGTACAATAATTATGTGAACCTAGTTTGCATTTACGTGTTTAAAATTTTTATACTGATTTTAATTAAAATAGTGTTGATAAATATAAGTAAAACTTAACAACCAGTCTGACTTACAACCTCAGTTGTAAGTTGAGGAGCCGCGGGCATATATATATATATACCCTGATGCATACTTTGATGATTTTCAGCTTATGTGGCTTGCTTCATTTTATTAACCAGTCAGTAAATCAATCAGTGAAGGTTGGCTGCAATCAATCTCCAGCATGCCCTGACTCTTGTCATGGTTGTGCAGTCTCTCAGACTGCTGCCCGTCAATCTCTTGCTGTTGTCCTCCCAGTTGTATAGTTGCCCATCTCTTGCTGTCATGCCTTCCACCTTTTCCTTCAGTATGGTTAATAAAAGTATGTTTTATCTTTTGTGGCCAGTGTATTTCAGTTGATAAAGACCAGTCTCAATATGTGATCTAAATTTCACACTGACCACCTTTGCTTTCTAGAATATTTCCTTGTACTCATTTTTAAGCGAGTTTTATCTGTTAACCAAGTCAGTTTAAAAAAAATATACCTCTCTGGGGCTTTGAGTCCCAAATAGAAGGACACAACAGAAATGAAATGTTTACATACTATGCTAGATATAATGAGGAAAGATCAGTTTAGGAACAAGATATCAGAAGGAGAGTCGGCGCAGAACCAAAACTTAACTTTATAGGTAGACAACAAATCAAATGGTTTAGCCACATAATAAGATTAGCATCAGACAGGGCACCACAGAGAGCAATGTTATACAGATACAGCGTTAACAGAGCCTGAGGTCGACCATGCAGAAATAGACTGCAGAAATATCAGAGACACTGAAAAGTACAGAAGGGCCCGTTCCAGAGATCTCTTCCTGCCCTGACACCATGGCATTCCAGAAGTAAAGAAAAGAAAAAGAAGTCCCAAATAGTTACACCTGAACAATTGAAACTATCAGCTCCAGGTGTTGCCCTTTACTCTTTAAAGAGTTAACTTGTATACTTATGTCTTTTCATGCTGAAATCTCACACACGGTACCTTCTAATTATTTCTCCATATAAACACATTGCACATGTATCTGGCTTCTCTTTTATCTTGTGACTTTGTGAAATATAAACAGAAGGAGAATGCTTCATTGTATGCTTCATGTATATGGGTTCCTAGAGACTCTCTTATTCCCTTTGTTTGTCATTTATATGGTTGGCCTTTCTTCCAGTTTCCACTTGATCTGTGCATCATTGTTCATTGTGATATACTATCTGATGGCAGATAAGTTAAATTGCCACATCATCATCAGTTCTCGTTATGCCTAGTGGCACATAAGGCTTCAGAGTGGACTTTCCATGCTTTCCTGTCCTGTGCAATCTTCAGTGCATTTTTCCATGTCAAAGATGCCGCACTCAGGTCACTTTCCATTGTTTGTCTCCATGTTGTTTTTGGGCGCCCCTATTTTCTCTTTTCCTCTGGTGTCCATGTGAGAGCTGTTTTTGGCAGGTATATCAGAAGTCATTCTCATAACGTGGCCAAGCCATTTCCATCTTCTCTTGGTAATCATACTGTCTAAAGTTTCTTGGTTTGTGGCTTGAAGTAGTTTAGTGTTTGAGATTGTATCTGGCCAGAAAATTTTGATAATTCTACGTAGACATGTATGGTGGAAGGTGGACAGCCTGTGTGCATCCTTTTTGGTCATTCTCCAGCATTCCGCTCCATAAAGAAGAACTGGCAAAATGATGCTCTTGTAGAGTCGGAGTTTCGTTCCTCTGCAGTAATTGTTGGATTTCCAGATTTGCCTCATCCTTCCAAAAGCAGCTCTAGCTTTGTTCAGACATGACTGTATGTCTTCCTCTGTCCCTCCCAGTAGGGACACCACACTGCCAAGATATGTGAAATGTTCTACATTTTCAAGTGATTGGTTACTTATGGTCACTGGTTGTTGGTTTGGACTGTTTGTCATGATCTTAGTTTTCTTTGTATTTATTCTCAGTCCCATCATTTCTGCTGTGCAGTTTAGTCTGTTACTTTTCTCTTGTATATGTTTATGTGATAGGAGTGCTATATCATCTGTAAAATCAAGGTCCTCAAGCATGGTGAATGGAGTTCATCGTATGCCTCTTAATGTCCTGTCTACTGGAGAGATGACATAACACATCCCTGTCTTACACCCATCTTTACTGGGAAAGATGTATTGTAATTTTTTATACTGCAGGAAAAGTCTTTATAGAAGAGAGCAATTATGTTGACTATTTTTTCTGGAATTCCATAATGTCGTAAAGTTTTCCACAGACCGTCTCTATGGACGCTGACAAAAGCTTTCTCAAAGTCCACAAAATTAATATATATACTTCTCTGCCATTCGTTGCATTGTTCTAAAATGTTATGTATGGCGAAGATGTGCTCAGTTGTTCCTCTGCCCTTTCTGAATCCTGCTTGTTCCACTTGTAGGCATTTATCTACTCCTTTTTCAAGCCGCATTATGATGGTTTTACAAAATATTTTGCTTGGTACTGAGAGTAGAGTACTTCCCCTCCAATTATTGCAGTCTGTTAAGTCTCCTTTTTTGGGGATTTTGACTATTGTTTCTTCAGTCCAGTCATCAGGCAACACTTCTTTTTCCCAAATATCCTTGAACAATAGTTCTAGAATGCTAGCAGTTGTGTTGGGATCTACTTTGAGAAGTTCTGCTGGCAGTTCGTCTTTGCCTGGTGCTTTGTTGTTCTTTAAAGTGTTGATAGCTTTAAGGATTTCTTGTTTGCTTGGTGGTTCAGTAATAATGTCAATGTTCTGAGAGGCTGGTTGAATATCTGGTGGATTTTCAGGATCAGGTTTGTTCAAGAGGTCGTAGAAGTGTTTAGTCCACTGCATGTCTTGTTTTTGTTCTGTGGTGAGCAGTCTGCCTTGGTTATCTCTGATGGGTATGCTGTGATAATTGTTTCTGTTTCCGCAAATTTGCTGGGTAATTTTGTGTAGGGTTTGTAGATCATGCGCTTTAGCAGCATTTTCTGCTGTTTCTGCAAGATTTTCCATAAATCTTCTCTTGTCATTTTTTTTAGTTCGCTATATTCTAACATTAGTTTGTCTTTCTGACGTTCTGATTTAGTGTGATTTATGAGGCTCTTTATTCTTTTTCGCTTGGCAATATAGTCCATGGTTTCACTACTTATCCATTCTTTGTGGTGTTGTTTCCTGGTTCCTAATAGGTTATTGCTAGTTGATTTGTATGTTTCTTTGATCTGGTTCCATCTGTCTTCAATGCTGATTGTAGTTGGAGTTTCTGGGTCACTTGATAGGGTTTGAAATCTATTCTTGAGTTCTACTATAAATTTGGTGGCAATGTCTTTTTCTCTTAAAAGGTTGACATTGTAACGTGCTGTCAGTGTCTTAACTTGCGTGTAAACTTTTTTGAGTTGTAGTAGAGCGACTACAAGGTGATGATCGCTTTCCACGTCTGCTCCCCTTTTGACACGAAATTGCCACACCATTTCTTTTATCTTGTTTT